TGGATATCCGTCTCCCTCTGGCGACACGCCCTTTTTTGTATAACTCTGTTCCCTGGAGTTGATTGTTTTTGGCACACAGCTCTGTAAACTCATCCAACAATTAACAAGGGGGAGGGGTGGAACAAAAAGAAGACAGATAGTAACTGTGGGGTGAGTGACACGTAGGAAGGGCCTCTGGGGCGTGGGTCCCCTCCCTGTCCCCTGTCGACAGCAGGACAGCACCTTGAGCGCAGAAAGGCCACATAAGCAGCTGGCTGGGAGTTCCGCTGGCAGAGTTCTGAGAATTCAGAACTCTCCACGCTTCCTTCCATGTGAACTGTGTCCTTGTCCCGTGGAGCTCTCCCTCAGGGCCCGAAGGGGCCCATTCGTGGAGCGGCGTAGCACTCCCCAGAGGCCACCTGAAGCCACGAGAGGCCAGCCTGCACCGATTTGAATATTTACTGCCCCTGTTTTGGCTAATCGTGTATGTGTTTGTTCTGTGTGTGTACCATCAAATACCTGCTGCGCTGGGCGTACCCGTTGTAGGCTGCGTGAGATCACAGATGAAAAATGCAATGAAAAACACTTTCGTGCCACAACACATCATGTAGGATTTTTGTATTAAGATGTGGATTTTTTTATTGTTTTTTTTTTTTTTCCTTTTCCATACAGCCCTGAGTTGGGCAATGTGCACGTCTGTGTTTGTGTTTTCACTCCTGGTGGTTTATGAAGTCTGCTCATTAGTGCGCTGTCGTCTCTCCTCTCCCCACCCAGCCTGGTCTTCATCATTTATTGTCTTGTGTGTAGACCTTTCCCTGCCACCTCCTAGTGGCTTCTCTCCTTTATGGAGATGATGGGTACCCCCAGTCTGTGTACTCAACTGGATGAAAATGAGGGAGTTCCTGTGGCCTGCTTCTCAATCCCACATCTCACAATGTTGATTGTGGTGGAAGGTCCCAATGTGGAGGAGGCTGCAGATCTCTCCCCAAGGATAAAGCACCCTTAGCTTGCCCCTTCTCTGGAGAGAAGAAATGGAAGTGGTCCTATTCCCGCAGAGCCTCCTGGCTTAGGGTAGCCCTTTCCTGGGTGGCTTCCTTGTCCCTGTCCTACCAGATGTCAGGAGTGATGGCATGCCCACAGCTGACATCCTGTTTACCAGGTAGGTTCAGGGACTTCTTTGCGTGCTAGGTGTGTTACCATTGGCCTCGCCTCCCCCACTGTCGGCCCAGCAGGAAGCACAGCCATCACTTTTGGTTTTGATCTCTGAGCGCATTTTGGTGGCTCTGGGACAGTTGTTCAAGACTTGTTTCGAGGCTAGGAGAACTAACATTCAGGATGGGAAATAGGATTAGGCATGGGTGGTTGCTGAGATCTTGCGTAGAAGAGGAGGAGGAAGAGGAGGAGGAGGAACTTTCTAGTGAGTTGGGCCTTGAAGCCTGTCACCCCAGGCCTGGCTTCTGCACCTGTGAGCAGTGTGACCTTTGGCAAGTCACTTTTTATCTCTGTGCCTGCTTTTCCCAATTTGTCCATGGGAGACCAGAGCTACTCTGACCTTCCTGCTGTAGCTTTGGCAAGATCATGGGTATAGACGCTTGGCACAGTGCTTGACAAAAGGCATGTATTGGGTCATCGGAAAAGTCACGATGCATTTTTACATAGAAAAACATAGAAAAAGACATCGTGACTTTTCCGATGACCCAATAGTTAGCAGATGGCCCTCGTTCTCCCGTAGCTGTGATGCTGGGGGTGAAAACCACTCATCCTGTGTGTCCTCTGCCTTCAGCGTTCTGCCCTGCATGTAGTGGGCTCAGTCAGTTCTTACTGGTATCAGTTGGAGAAGGATCAGGTGAGCAAGTGGTCCCCTCGAACCTGAAAACCCACGGAACTCACGGAGGAGGGGCAGAGACCAAGATGCAGCCTGGGGCTTAGGAGCCCAAACAGAACGGAACAAGAAAAGAGCCAACGCCGAGTTCTGCTGGAGAAGGGGGAGGCAGCTGTGCTAGGCCCACTTGCTTCTGACATGAAATCAGGGACTCGTTCAGTTCCACAAACACTTACGCTGCCACCATGGGCCAGCTGTTGTGCTAAATGCCGGGGACACAGAGATAATTAAGACTTGCGCTCTGCCCTTGAGGAGTTAGAAGTCCAGTGGTGGAGACAGACTCGTCCACAGATGACTCTAGTCCAAGATGGATTTAAATGCCATCACTAGGGATGCAGGAGGAACCCAGGAGCATATGGCTCTACTTGGGGGGGAGATTCTAGAAGATTGCCTGGAGGAGCCTCAGCAGAAGAGGGTGGCGGCAACCCCAGGTGTTTCTAGATCCCCTTGCTAAAACCCTGTCACGTCTCCTGTTGGTTCTGCCCAAGGCCTGCTAGGTAGGAGGGACAGCGGTACAGACCACCTCTGTTTGGGGAGGAAACTGAGCAGGAGGGAGATTGTCTGGCTGGTTGAAGGCATGGGGTAGGTTAAATGGCAGAATCGAGACTCAGCCCCAGGCCTTTGGAC